CTCTTCAATTTATTGAAGACATATAAAAAAAACCAAGAACATGTCGGCCAGAAGAGTGACACTGTTTGTTCCCATAGAAATGCCTACAATCTGCCGGGAATATTTCCACCGAACTTAACAAAGATATTGTCAACCAGGAACCCTATCACTCTCAGGACATTGTCAACCAGGAACCCTATCACTCTCAGGATATTGTCAACCAGGAACCCTGTCACTCTCAGGACATTGTCAACCAGGAACCCTATCACTCTCAGGACATTGTCAACCAGGAACCCTATCACTCTCAGGATATTGTCAACCAGGAACCCTATCACTCTCAGGACATTGTCAACCAGGAACCCTATCACTCTCAGGATATTGTCAACCAGGAACCCTGTCACTCTCAGGACATTGTCAACCAGGAACCCTATCACTCTCAGGACATTGTCAACCAGGAACCCTATCACTCTCAGGATATTGTCAACCAGGAACCCTATCACTCGCAGGATATTGTCAACCAGGAACCCTATCACTCTCAGGATTTTGTCCCCATATTGTTCATCTTTGCCAAGCTGCATTCTTAGCAAAGTATGATGTACTTTCTTTGAAAAGATAGCTCACATAATGAGAATAGGAAGGCTTTCCATCAGTTTGATAAGAGGGTATGGTAGTGTTGAGAGTTGAAAAGTCAAATGCTATGATAGAGAAACCCTTTTGGGGAGAAAAAGCTCAAGATTGACCAAACGTTTTTATGATTTCTTCAAAATCCATTTTCATCAATTCCTCTTCTTGAATATGACGTGTTACCTAACGACTATTTCCTGATATAAAGGTACTAAGAATTGGAAGTAAGAAAGTGTGACGAAGCCTTAACAGATCAGCCAGCAGAGCCAGCAATAAAACTCTGGAGATAATGATTCTAGTTGAGGTTCAGAAGCCAATACAGTGGAGATAGGTCCGTGTCCTTATCATCAACCCGTACTCGGAGAGATTGTTGTAATACATGTACGTGATTAAGTTGTATTATTGTTTAAAAAAATAAAATAATGTGTAAGAATTGTGTCCTTGATCTAGACCTTTTTGTAAGCAGGACATGTAATGGTGGTTGCAGGCAAGGATAAATTTATAAGAAGCTGAAACTGCCAACACTAATACATATTTTTTTATGCAGACCGTTGAATGTTGCACATTATGTTACACATAACCATTTTAAGACGTTTAGAGAATGTACTGTTACTTAAAGCCACAGTTAGACATTTTGACTGTATATTATACGGTGTTTACCACACTTAAACTGGTGGAGTTTACGACATTCCCTTTAGTTAAAACTGTATTCTACTCAATAATCAAAAATGTTTATAACATACACTAGATTACAGAGGGAAGCAAGCTTAGAGCTTATATCAATAATGATTAATAATTATATCTTCAAAAATGTGTTTTGAAAAGATGTGTTTAGGGCATGGTATAAATTAAGAGCAAAAGAGGAGCTGTTTAAAAATGAGAAGTTTGCCCTACTTAAGACACCCTTATGGTATAACAAAAATATTTCTTTTGGGAATAAAGTTGTTTTTTTATCGTAAGTGGTTTAAAATGGGATTATGATAATTAATGATTTGTTGAAAAACAACACAGACTACTCTTTCTTGTCTTTTAAGGAATTTTGTGATCTACATGGTACAATAACTAATTATCTAGAATATCATGGCTTGATAACAAGCATAAAGAATGATCTAAAACAACTTAATTTGCCAAACAAAAATGCAATATACCCAATTATACCGTTACATCTTGTAATAATTTTAAAGAAGAAAAAGGGTTCTCAAGACTTCTATGATATACTTATCAGAAATAATGCATCAATAACTGCTCAAACAAAATGGGGGAATATATTCGACTATAATCAGGAAACTTGGGGGAAAATATATGCTATTCCGTTCAGGGTAACAAAAAATACAAAATTGCAATGGTTGCAATTTAGAATTAATCATTATATTTTAACAACCAATTCTTATTTTTCTTATTTATACAAAATTGGACTTGTAAATAACCCACACTGTGTTTTTTGTATCATAGAAAGGGAGACAATTACCCACGTTTTATGGGAACGCAAGTCGCTTATTTATTTTATTTATTTTCTTCTCAAATTTGGCTGTCTGATCTCTCTCCCCCTCTCTCTCTCTCTCTCTCTCTCTCTCTCTCTCTCTCTCTCTCTCTCTCTCTCTCTCTCTCTCTCTCTCTCTCTCTCTCTCTCTCTCTCTCTCTCTCTCTCTCTCTCTCTCTCTCTCTCTCTCTCTCTCTCTCTCTCTCTCTCTCTCTCTCTCTCTCTCTCTCTCTCTCTCTCTCTCTCTCTCTCTCTCTCTCTCTCTCTCTCTCTCTCTCTCTCTCTCTCTCTCTCTCTCTCTCTCTCTCTCTCTCTCTCTCTCTCTCTCTCTCTCTCTCTCTCTCTCTCTCTCTCTCTCTCTCTCTCTCTCTCTCTCTCTCTCTCTCTCTCTCTGTCTCTCTCTCTCTTAGTGCTCTTTGTCCATTTATTTTGTGTCTCTATTTGCAAAAGTGCGTGAAAATTAAATGTGTCTCGGTGATTGTATAAAATCATCATCATCAGATGATGATGAGGATGATGATTATGATTATGATGAGGATGATGAGGATGATGAGGATGAGGATGATGATAATTTCAATAGTTGATATGTGTGAATGTGTGTTGATGTGATGTTCTGTATAATGTACATGTTCTGAAAATCTTGAAAAATTAAATTAAAAAAAATAATGTCTCTTCGATATATCATAGAATACAGGGCTGGGAAAGTAAGCTTAGAGCTTAAATCAATAATTTCTCTTCGATATATCATAGAATACAGGGCTGGGAAAGCAAGCTTAGAGCTTAAATCAATTATGCCTCTTCTATATATCATAGAATACAGGGCTTGGAAAGCAAGCGTAGAGCTTAAGTCAATAATGTCTCTTCGATATATCATAGAATATAGGGCTGGGAAAGTAAGCTTAGAGCTTAAATCAATAATTTCTCTTCGATAAATCATAGAATACAGGGCTGGGAAAGCAATCTTAGAGCTTAGATCAATAATGTCTCTTCTATATATCATAGAATACAGGGCTTGGAAAGCAAGCGTAGAGCTTAAATCAATAATGTCTCTTCGATATATCATAGAATACAGGGCTGGAAAAGCAAGCTTAGCGCTTATATCAATAATGTCACAGTTACAAGATTGGTGATGTATTCTTTGCTAACACGATTGGTGATGTATATTTTGCTAATAAGTCTGGTGATGTATACTTCGCTAACAAGTCTGGTGATGTATATTTTGATAACAAGTCTGGTGATGTATAACAGGGCTGGGAAAGCAAGCTTAGAGCTTATATCAATAATGTCACAGTTACAAGTCTGGTTGTACTTTGCTAACAAGTCTGGTGATGTATATTTTGCTAACAAGTCTGGTGATGTATACTTTGCTAACAAGTCTGGTGATGTTTACTTTGCTAACAAGTCTGGTGATGTATATTTTGCTAACAAGTCTGGTGATGTATACTTTGCTAACAAGTCTGGTGATGTTTATTTTGCTAACAAGATTGGTGATGTATTCTTTGCTAACAAGATTGGTGATGTATATTTTGCTAACAAGTCTGGTGATGTTAACTTTGCTAACAAGTCTGGTGATGTATACTTTGCTAACAAGTCTGGTGATGTATACTTTGCTTACAAGTCTGGTGATGTAAACTTTGCTAACAAGTCTGGTGATGTATACTTGGCTAACAAGTCTGGTGATGTATATTTTGCTAACAAGTCTGGCGATGTATACTTTGCTAACAAGTCTGGTTATGTAAACTTTGCTAACAAGTCGGGTGATGTATACTTTGCTTACAAGTCTGGTTATGTATACTTTTCTTACAAGTCTGGTGATGTATAATTTGCTTACAAGTCTGGTGATGTATACTTTGCTTACAAGTCTGGCGATGTATACTTTGTTAACAAGTCTGGTGATGTAAATTTTGCTAACAAGTCTGGTTATGTATACTTTTCTTACAAGTCTGGTGATGTATACGTTGCTAACAAGATTGGTGATGTATATGTTGCTAACAAGTCTGGTTTTGTATATTTTGCTAACAAGTCTGGTTATGTATACTTTTCTTACAAGTCTGGTGATGTATACTTGGCTAAAAAGTCTGGTGATGTATAATTTGCTTACAAGTCTGGTGATGTATATTTTGATAACAAGTCTGGCGATGTATACTTTCCTAACAAGTCTGGTGATGTTTACTTTGCTAACAAGTCTGGCGATGTATACTTTGCTAAAAAGGCTGGTGATGTATACTTTGCTAACAAGTCTGGTGATGTATTCTTTGCTAACAAGTCTGGTGATGTATACTTTGCTAACAAGTCTGGTGATGTATTCTTTGCTAACAAGTCTGGTGATGTTTACTTTGCTAACGAGTCTGGTGATGTATATTTTGCTAACAAGATTGGTGATGTATTCTTTGCTAACAAGATCGGTGATGTATATTTTGCTAACAAGTCTGGTGATGTATACTTTGCTAACAAGTCTGGTGATATATTCTTTGCTAACAAGTCTGGTGATGTATATTTTGCTAACAAGTCTGGTGATGTACACTTTGCTAACAAGTCTGGTGATGTATACTTGGCTAACAAGATTGGTGATGTATTCTTTGCTAACAAGATTGGTGATGTATACTTTGCTAACAAGTCTGGTGATGTATACTTTGCTAACAAGTCTGGTGATGTATATTTTGCTAACAAGTCTAGTGATGTATATTTTGCTAGCAATTCTTGTAGTTTATACTCAAGTACAATTCTTTTACATCTCAGACAAGGGAACTTATCATTCTATAAGTTTTGTATGCAAACAGTACTTATTATGTACAACTTGCTAACCATTGTAGGGGGATATACATTATAAACCTGGGATGATTTGGGATAAAGATCACTGGCCTGATAGGGTGTGAACCAACCTGACCCATATATATCATGTCAGTATAATACGTACAGCTTCAGGTTCTGGCTCCCGATCGCGTCCCGACGATTTAAGGTATACCTGAAATGTATTGTTAAACTTCAAACTAATGACTGGTGTCCGCAAATCATGAAAATCAAAAATATTCTTATACTGAAATGTTTTGTTACTATTTGAAATATATCCCAATCTATGAATGTCTCCTACGAATGTCTCTTTTTCTAAATATTTAAAACAACCTAAGCCCACGGAACCATCCGTCAGCAACCTCAACCCTTCATTGTCTACCTACTTATTATCCCATTTATTTATTTACTCATAATCCCAAAAATCATATATTCGAAATCCCACAAACGTTCTCCTCATAATCCCTTCAAGTATCCCCTCATTATCCCATAATTCAACCCCTGCCTACCAAAGGGTAGTAACAATCATCAGTTACTTGGAAGCCCCTCACATTCAAAGGTTATTGTACGGAAACTTTTCAATATTTACCCTTTCCTTAAGCTTCCCAACCCTCTTCTCGTGTATTATATAAATAGTTATAGATATTTACCCTTTCCATAAGTAACCAGACCTTCTTCACGTGTATTATATAAATAGTTATAGATATTTACCCTTTCCTTAAGTTTCCCGACCTCTTCACGTGTATTATATAAATAGTTATATATATTTACCCTTTCCTTAAGTTTCCCCACCGTCTTCACGTGTGTTATATAAATAGTTATATATATTTACCCTTTCCTTAAGTTTCCCCACCGTCTTCACGTGTATTATATAAATAGTTATAGATATTTACCCTTTCCTTAAGTTTCCCAACCCTCTTCACGTGTATTATATAAATAGTTATAGATATTTACCCTTTCCTTAAGTTTCCCAACCCTCTTCACGTGTATTATATAAATAGTTATAGATATTTACCCTTTCCTTAAGTTTCCCAACCCTCTTCACGTGTATTATATAAATAGTTATAGATATTTACCCTTTCCTTAAGTTTCCCAACCCTCTTCACGTGTATTATATAAATAGTTATAGATATTTACCCTTTCCTTAAGTTTCCCAACCCTCTTCACGTGTATTATATAAATAGTTATAGATATTTACCCTTTCCTTAAGTTTCCCAACCCTCTTCACGTGTATTATATAAATAGTTATAGATATTTACCCTTTCCTTAAGTTTCCCAACCCTCTTCACGTGTATTATATAAATAGTTATAGATATTTACCCTTTCCTTAAGTTTCCCAACCCTCTTCACGTGTATTATATAAATAGTTATAGATATTTACCCTTTCCTTAAGTTTCCCAACCCTCTTCACGTGTATTATATAAATAGTTATAGATATTTACCCTTTCCTTAAGTTTCCCAACCCTCTTCACGTGTATTATATAAATAGTTATAGATATTTACCCTTTCCTTAAGTTTCCCAACCCTCTTCACGTGTATTATATAAATAGTTATAGATATTTACCCTTTCCTTAAGTTTCCCAACCCTCTTCACGTGTATTATATAAATAGTTATAGATATTTACCCTTTCCTTAAGTTTCCCAACCCTCTTCACGTGTATTATATAAATAGTTATAGATATTTACCCTTTCCTTAAGTTTCCCAACCCTCTTCACGTGTATTATATAAATAGTTATAGATATTTACCCTTTCCTTAAGTTTCCCAACCCTCTTCACGTGTATTATATAAATAGTTATAGATATTTACCCTTTCCTTAAGTTTCCCAACCCTCTTCACGTGTATTATATAAATAGTTATAGATATTTACCCTTTCCTTAAGTTTCCCGACCTCTTCACGTGTATTATATAAATAGTTATATATATTTACCCTTTCCTTAAGTTTCCCCACCGTCTTCACGTGTGTTATATAAATAGTTATATATATTTACCCTTTCCTTAAGTTTCCCCACCGTCTTCACGTGTATTATATAAATAATTATAGATATTTACCCTTTCCTTAAGTTTCCCAACCCTCTTCACGTGTATTATATAAATAGTTATAGATATTTACCCTTTCCTTAAGTTTCCCAACCCTCTTCACGTGTATTATATAAATAGTTATAGATATTTACCCTTTCCTTAAGTTTCCCGACCCTCTTCACGTGTATTATATAAATAGTTATAGATATTTACCCTTTCCTTAAGTTTCCCGACCCTCTTCACGTGTATTATATAAATAGTTATAGATATTTACCCTTTCCTTAAGTTTCCCGACCCTCTTCACGTGTATTATATAAATAGTTATAGATATTTACCCTTTCCTTAAGTTTCCCGACCCTCTTCACGTGTATTATATAAATAGTTATAGATATTTACCCTTTCCTTAAGTTTCCCAACCCTCTTCACGTGTATTATATAAATAGTTATAGATATTTACCCTTTCCTTAAGTTTCCCAACCCTCTTCACGTGTATTATATAAATAGTTATAGATATTTACCCTTTCCTTAAGTTTCCCGACCCTCTTCACGTGTATTATATAAATAGTTATAGATATTTACCCTTTCCTTAAGTTTCCCAACCCTCTTCACGTGTATTATATAAATAGTTATAGATATTTACCCTTTCCTTAAGTTTCCCAACCCTCTTCACGTGTATTATATAAATAGTTATAGATATTTACCCTTTCCTTAAGTTTCCCAACCCTCTTCACGTGTATTATATAAATAGTTATAGATATTTACCCTTTCCTTAAGTTTCCCAACCCTCTTCACGTGTATTATATAAATAGTTATAGATATTTACCCTTTCCTTAAGTTTCCCAACCCTCTTCACGTGTATTATATAAATAGTTATAGATATTTACCCTTTCCTTAAGTTTCCCAACCCTCTTCACGTGTATTATATAAATAGTTATAGATATTTACCCTTTCCTTAAGTTTCCCAACCCTCTTCACGTGTATTATATAAATAGTTATAGATATTTACCCTTTCCTTAAGTTTCCCGACCTTCTTCACGTGTATTATATAAATAGTTATAGATATTTACCCTTTCCTTAAGTTTCCCGACCTTCTTCACGTGTATTATATAAATAGTTATAGATATTTACCCTTTCCTTAAGTTTCCCGACCTTCTTCACGTGTATTATATAAATAGTTATAGATATTTACCCTTTCCTTAAGTTTCCCGACCTTCTTCACGTGTATTATATAAATAGTTATAGATATTTACCCTTTCCTTAAGTTTCCCGACCTTCTTCACGTGTATTATATAAATAGTTATAGATATTTACCCTTTCCTTAAGTTTCCCGACCTTCTTCACGTGTATTATATAAATAGTTATAGATATTTACCCTTTCCTTAAGTTTCCCGACCTTCTTCACGTGTATTATATAAATAGTTATAGATATTTACCCTTTCCTTAAGTTACCCGACCTTCTTCACGTGTATTATATAAATAATTATAGATATTTACCCTTTCCATGAGTTACACGACCCTCTTCACGTGTATTATATAAATAGTTATAGATATTTACCCTTTCCTTAAGTTACCCGACCTTCTTCACGTGTATTATATAAATAATTATAGATATTTACCCTTTCCATGAGTTACACGACCCTCTTCACGTGTATTATATAAATAGTTATAGATATTTACCCTTTCCTTAAGTTACCCGACCTTCTTCACGTGTATTATATAAATAATTATAGATATTTACCCTTTCCATGAGTTACACGACCCTCTTCACGTGTATTATATAAATAGTTATAGATATTTACCCTTTCCTTAAGTTACCCGACCTTCTTCACGTGTATTATATAAATAATTATAGATATTTACCCTTTCCATGAGTTACACGACCCTCTTCACGTGTATTATATAAATAGTTATAGATATTTACCCTTTCCTTAAGTTACCCGACCTTCTTCACGTGTATTATATAAATAATTATAGATATTTACCCTTTCCATGAGTTACACGACCCTCTTCACGTGTATTATATAAATAGTTATAGATATTTACCCTTTCCTTAAGTTACCCGACCTTCTTCACGTGTATTATATAAATAATTATAGATATTTACCCTTTCCATGAGTTACACGACCCTCTTCACGTGTATTATATAAATAGTTATAGATATTTACCCTTTCCTTAAGTTACCCGACCTTCTTCACGTGTATTATATAAATAATTATAGATATTTACCCTTTCCATGAGTTACACGACCCTCTTCACGTGTATTATATAAATAGTTATAGATATTTACCCTTTCCTTAAGTTACCCGACCTTCTTCACGTGTATTATATAAATAATTATAGATATTTACCCTTTCCATGAGTTACACGACCCTCTTCACGTGTATTATATAAATAGTTATAGATATTTACCCTTTCCTTAAGTTACCCGACCTTCTTCACGTGTATTATATAAATAATTATAGATATTTACCCTTTCCATGAGTTACACGACCCTCTTCACGTGTATTATATAAATAGTTATAGATATTTACCCTTTCCTTAAGTTACCCGACCTTCTTCACGTGTATTATATAAATAATTATAGATATTTACCCTTTCCATGAGTTACACGACCCTCTTCACGTGTATTATATAAATAGTTATAGATATTTACCCTTTCCTTAAGTTACCCGACCTTCTTCACGTGTATTATATAAATAATTATAGATATTTACCCTTTCCATGAGTTACACGACCCTCTTCACGTGTATTATATAAATAGTTATAGATATTTACCCTTTCCTTAAGTTACCCGACCTTCTTCACGTGTATTATATAAATAATTATAGATATTTACCCTTTCCATGAGTTACACGACCCTCTTCACGTGTATTATATAAATAGTTATAGATATTTACCCTTTCCTTAAGTTACCCGACCTTCTTCACGTGTATTATATAAATAATTATAGATATTTACCCTTTCCATGAGTTACACGACCCTCTTCACGTGTATTATATAAATAGTTATAGATATTTACCCTTTCCGTAAGTTACCCGACCTTCTTCACGTGTATTATATAAATAATTATAGATATTTACCCTTTCCTTAACTTACCAGACCTTCTTCACGTGTATTATATATATAGGATTTTAAATGAGTTTTCATTTCATAAAAGCTCATATGAAATGAAAACAAATTTAAGATACTTTCTATCACATAACTCAGAAAACTTACATTTTGACAGGTTTTAAAGCCAAAATATAGAGGGCTTAATCAAACGGAGACAGCCAGTTTGTTGCGCCATTCACAATTTATGACGTCACGTCATTGTCCATATTATGACGTCACAATCGATTTCTGACTGGCACAGCCAATGAAAAACGCTCCAGGGTATAATACACTAGTGACATATGTAAAAAATATTGCACGGGCGAATTCACTGGATAACAAGCCGATTATGGGATAATATACAATTATGGACTTTTGTGCTGGTGAATATGATGTGAAATGAACCTGAAAGAGTGATATTGACTGAGGCGAAGCCGAGGTCAATATCCCTCTTTCAGGTTCATATCACATCATATTTACCAGCACAAAAGCCCATAACTGTTTTCTTATATGCTTCAACAATAAAATAAAACGAAACAAAACTAAAGGTTCTGATTTTTGTATGCGAGCCTCCGTGTAAAATTTAGCCAGGTTTTAATACAACATTTCATCATTGTAGCTTACGAAGGTATCGTCTAGATTCTTTTTCTTAAGATAAGCACGGAGGACATGCACTGCGTGTTCAATGGCCTTTTTTTATGTTAACAGCATCTTTATCCTCGAATAGTTTTGGTGATTTTCCTAACGGAGGTGAAACGTTCGCCAGCAGCCATCTTCTAATGTCGTCTGACAGATCGCGTTCCGGGCTAACTGCGCATGCGCTACGACAGGTTCCGGGGAATTTCCATGTAGGCTATATTTATAAATCGATATTCACCGGATAACCAGTCTACATTAGTTTTTGAGGACTGGTCACGTGTATCTGATCCGACCAATGTGATTGCGAGAAATGTTCATGCATATAATAAAAATAATTATAGATATTTACCCTCTCCATCACTGGGTATCCCCCTCCTCCAGTCCGTAGATAGCGGATAAATGGTATTCTCTGACCATGAGCTAAAGATATGTACAGGGAACAGCTGATCAGACAGAGAAGCAGATTTGTTGTAACACCCATCTTCGTTTGTATGTCTTGGAGTCTGAAACAAAACAATCATCATAAAAATCGTAATCATTTAAAACACAATGGTGCCAGAATAAAGGGGAAGGTACAACACAAAGTCACCATGCCACTTTTAGCACGTGCTTAGTTGAACAAAAAAAAAACCGGTTCTTAATCAAATACTTAACCAATAGTTGTATGGGGAAAATAAGTTAACGATGTCAATTTTTTTTAAATTTATGTATTTTGATGTGTTTTTTTTGCGTTTAGGACAGGTAAAAACATTCTGATTGATATCGAATGTTGTATTAAACATTTGACAATGTGTAAATAAATCTACACATTCTGTATCTACATATTACGCTATATAAAACTACTGATGTAACAACATTTAAGCTACAAACTCAATTACTTTCCTAATATTTTATGCCACATATTTAAAATGTGATCATACTGCCATGATAGTCTGCTATCAAACCGTAATTAGTAAGATGTGTTAAGCATATCCTCTCCCGACAATATGCCTCCCTAGCCTCCGCCTATCGCTTCTGTAACACCGTGTATTCACTTTAAATACACAATACTTTATGTAAAGACCCCACCTGTCAACTCAACTGTGAGATACATGTTTATCACATAATGTACTGTGTTATCCAGTGAATATACCCATGCAATATTTTTCGCGTATTAACCCATGTTCTATGACCTATCAGCCCTGTGATTGGTTGTAAGTTTCGATTGTTTCAATTGTTGCCTAGGACAAGTACATGATGTCACAGACTTACGCACTGGAGTCAAAATGACGGCTTTTTACATTTCAAGGTTGCATGAAAATTGTCGTTTTACACGAATAAATGCCACAAATCTTGATTTTGTGATAAAAAGGATCTTACACTTGTTTTCATTTCATATGAAATTTATGAAACTCGTCACTAATGTTTCATTTTAGCTCGCCAGAGGCTCGCTAAATTTAAAAAAATCTAAGACAGGAAGGGCGTAAGAATTGTACCTGCTGCCCCCATTGCATGATCGTAAGAGGAGACTAAATTGTTTCGCCCCTGTGAGGAAGGCTTTGGGTTCTGTCTCCTGGCCGAGACATACCAGAGTCTGTAAAAAGGGTAGGTTCTACTCCTGCTTAACGCTCAGCAATTTAGGAGTGGGACGACTGTTTCGCCCGTTGTCAGTATGATGTGACCGGGTGGGGTGTCCTGCTGGGTGTCTTCGGCAGTATGTTTCAGTGAGGTACACTGTAGCACTATAAAGTCGGTATCAGTTCCGCGCTATCACAAAGAGACAAACACGAATATATCGCAGCCTCCCAAAACATACACTACACGCATGTATCTTGCACACAGGGGAGGCCGTCCTTAAATGACCATAGATGTTGATAGGACATTAAACAATACAAAACCAAACCAAACCAATCTAAGACTCGTTTCATAAATCTCATAGGAAATGGAAACTTATGTAAGATCCTATATATCTTCACTTCAAATACACGATACTTTATGTAACAATTGCTTTTATGTTATCTTATCGTTCAACGCTAATTCTTTCAGCATTAATGTTTAGACAAATGGCGTGGGATTTTGCTTCCTTGTTGTCTAAACAATCAACAGAATAAGAAATAAGTACCCGCTTAGGTAGGAAATATACCAGACAAAATAGGAAAACCAAAGGAAATTGAGGATTTTGGTGCCTTGGACAAAAAAAACCGGAAATGAGCGATTACAGACTTCAGACAACAGAGTTTCTACAGACTAAATTTTCGACATAATCTTCTCCAGTAGAGATCAACAGAATTCGTCCACCTCGGCTGGTATCATACGAAACAAGTCTCGTACACCAAGGTCGGAAAATATTCGAAGGTGGTTCCATTAATACATTTAAGTGCTTTTAATTTACTTCCAACTGGATTATTTTCGCCGTGTGAAACTTTCTTCTTTACTGTATAAATATATCAATACACACCGATGAAATTTACAAAAAACGCACTTAATTGAACACTGAAAAATGCACACTTTGCTAAAATAAATAATTACGTAGTGTTAGTTAAAATTGCTAACGAAATAACCATTTTTGTGTAAAATTTGTGACGTTTCATTGAAACAAATATCCCAGTAAAAAAGTAATAAACCTGTATACAGTTGTTACCCTGTAAAGTAATAAACCTGTATACAGGTGTTACCCTGTAAAGTAATAACACCGTATACAGTTGTTACCCTGTAAAGTAATAAACCTGTATACAGTTGTTACCCTGTAAAGAGCAATAACGCTATATACAGTAGTATCACTGTAAAATACAATGCACATAAGGTGTATATACAATAATAAATAACCCTGTATACTGTAGAATTTAAGTACAAGGAGAGACCATTTTCATATTGCATACTGTTTCAACCCGAGGCCCATATATTGGTAATCCCGAGAACAAAATTCAGATGACATTCCTATCAGCTATGAATGCCACAGCCCACACATTACTATCCCTGATCCTCCCTGAGGGATGTTTGTTCCATTTATTAAGCAAACATAAATGATGCAAAAACTTATGAATACCAACACGAAATGACAAATTCAACATGAAAAGCGGTACTAAGTTTTTCTGTGTTATTTTCCAATGAAGCTGACCAGATTAATATATAGTCTAGTGTCTCAGTATTGGCTCAATTTGCCTATCATATGGTTGTTTGGTAGAAAGCATAAAACATTTCTTAATACTTAAAAAAAATGGAGAAAAAAAGGTGGAAAAAGAATTTGTGTTTAATTCAACACCATTCTAGCCAGTATACATACTTTCAACAGTGGGAAAGGTTCGGTGTATGTATCGAAATATGCAATATTTACAAAGTAAACAAGTATTTACCTATACAGGAACTATGCGCTCATGATACATTTACATTTAGTAACTCACTTTATTTAAACGTAGACAAGCTCTAGTATGTCTAGAACCTAATGGACGCACACAAGGTCCTGGTATTCTCAGACGGGTATAATTGAAATATAGCGATAGAGTATTACTTTATCATGATTTCCTGAGATGATGTATTGAACTAGTTTTGACATAAAATAAACTTGAACTGCTTCACAGTCCGTTTTCGTGAAATACAACGTAATGGGAGACTAGTATTTAATGGCTTCTAGTTAAATACCATATATAGAATTATGGAAGAGTACCAACATTCTTACTCTTAAAGATAAAGGTTACTGCCATATACTTGGGGAATACATATATATCTACAATGAATTCAACGGGAAAACCTTCGACTTTTCTATTTGTCACATTTTAAAGTACTTTCACCGACAAAAAGTTTACTGTATCAAAAAGTGGGAAATACTAGCATATCTTTGGTGCTATATTCTAATGACCTCGTGCTTAACAACAAGAGCGCGCGCCATTTTAAATGGGCTACTCAACAAACCTCTATCGCTTTTTGATATTATCTGGTCTTAGCGCTGTGTAATTCACCTACCAAAACTCCACGCATTGTACCATGGGATATTCTTGGTTAAAGCTTAGTCATCATGCAGATACATTGTATTCATAGTGATCCAAAATTTGTGATATTAACCTTGATGTGATACTCTTTATACTGTGACAAATCTGTGATTATTATGCAATTGAAATCTGTGATCATATGTGATATTTGTTCTTGTATCATGCTTTAACCGAATAAATATTATTATCAACATCTGCGGATTTCAAAGCAGTGAATACAGATTGGTCAATATAAACTTTCAGATTGGTCAATATAAACTTTCAGATTGGTCAATATAAACTTTCAGATTGATCAATATAAACTTTCAGATTGGTCAATATAAATTTTCAGATTGGTCAGTATAAACTTTCAGATTGGTCAATATAAACTTTCAGATTGATCAATATAAACTTTCAGATTGGTCAATATAAACTTTCAGATTGGTCAATATAAACTTTCAGATTGGTCAATATAAACTTTCAGATTGATCAATATAAACTTTCAGATTGGTCAATATAAACTTTCAGATTGAGTAATATAAACTTTCAAATTGGTTAATATAAACTTTCAGATTGGTCAATATAAACTTTCAGATTGGTCAATATAAACAACAGTAAATATCAGTTTTATCTATTTGACAGAACTCAATATCTCAATGACAAAAATGTAATAAGTAGAGATCATCATAAAACTATCTCATTTACTCCCGTATCGACTCCAGACCATCTTCTCCGGTCCCCCGGGCTGGTATGTAGGTATTGGGTTGAGAGCGGGTAGGATATGGAAACTGTCACAGTAAAACCTCTAGAGCGGTTACAAAAACGTGTGTACAATTCCAGTTTGATGTAATGTATAATTGGACAATATTTCAATAAGCCCAGAATGTTTCATGATTCCAATGCCTGGTTTCGCCCCGTTTTTATCACGATGGGAAAGCATGTTGTCTCTCTGTAGGTACTGGCTTCACCTTTCTGTTGTTGTCCCTTTTCTGTTTTATTTTTGACTATGAGGAAAATGCAATGATTATGACATTTGGGGGACTAGAAGTTAAGGCGTCTGACCTGACACGTCCTTAATGGCCGTAGCTATTAATAGGACGTAAAGCACGCACGAACAAATCAAACAAACTAACAAAAGAAAATTCGTATAACGTAGACATTCTAGCAGCATGTTTCGGGATATTGACAACAAAACCCACTGACACAATGTCTTTTTTTTAAAGTAATTTAACTGCTGCTTTTAAACATCTCTTTCGGAAATTCAGCTGAGGTTCTTTAGCTATCTTAATTATGAATATGTTGAGTAATGTCATTTAATTAGCACTAACTTGTCATCATAAACCAGTACTACAACGCAGACGTTTAATAATTACACGGGCTAAATATAACTTTATATAACTCAGTGAACTCGCTAGTTTGTCGTAACATAATGAGATAGATAAAAAAAATGTTTACTTTAAAACATTAAATTGCAGTAATTAGTTATAGAGGGCGGAGCTCTCTCACGGGCCCGTGAGAGCGAAGCTCTCCCTATAGGTAACACGTATGTTAGAAAAATAAAGATAAACTTGTCTTAACATTGCCGCCAGTCGCACGCGCTGTAGTCTCCGCCATCTTGATCTCGAAACAAGTTCTCGTTTGCCGAATCTCGAACAAACGTTACATTTTTGTAAGATTTAAAACTTATATCTAACTATAGGATACTTAAATATTTAATACTTTCTGGTTAAAGATGTAAATTCTTTTTGACATAACGTTACCGGCTTCATTGCTCTAGTTCTGAATGGTCGAAAAATTATTGTATCGGCAGTGTAGTCTCGTTCAATCAGACGCTTGCGCAGACAACAAGAGTCTGGTTGAACGAGACTATCACGCAGAGTTACGGTTCTTGCACTCCCTATGACAACTCTGGGTAGAAATTGCAGTGGTATATATATATTTAGAAAACGGAATATCAACAAAACAACGTGCTGGTTGTCAACAAAAAGGGAGTTTATCACAGTGACACAATATGATAGAATAAAAAAACCATACAAGTATTTTCAGAAGATATTTTTAATTGATATTTTGCACGAAAGAAAATGAAGAAAAGAAACTGAATCCATACTGTAACATTTTCATTTTTTATTACTATCTCACAGCTATTTTGTATTCATTAAAGAAAATCTGCTGTTTTAAAAATCTGCACGATTTAAAAAAATAAATCTATACAGTTTTATGTACTGAACCGATTCAATTTCTAATTGAGGAAACAATACATTTTCTCTATTGCTAAAACTATACATAAAGCAGAGACATATAAAGCATATAGTCAGTAAGTTGCTGAAACAAATATATTCATCCACAATATATATATATGATATATAGATATATTGAATCTCTTGACTGCAATGATGGGTATTGAAAAATGACAAAAATTGTGATTTCGCATATTCTTCTTTTTTTTAATAGAGACTTCATATAAATCCAGTTTTTATAGCATTGAACAAATTAATTTTTACACATAAAAAGCACAAAAATTGTAAAATACTATGCATAAATTCTCTCTGGATACAAAATTTATAAATCATTGAAGTTAAGTTTGAAGTAATTCGTAAAGTTCTGTACATATAATGAAAAAGTTCCACCGCGATGGGCTTTACAATCTCCCGGAAACTGACATCAACTCACGTCGCACAGTTAAAAAGACAAGAGGGAGAAGGTTGCGACGTAAACACCAAACTGTCAAGACCATTACTCCGAGTAATACAGTCGTCAACCTATCAAACCATCCCCTTACAGAACCAGAGCATGCTATTCTTACTAAGGGTCCTAATTTTTGTCCGATCCCCAAAAGCCCCAACAATGCAGAGCTGATCGAGTACAGGGACAGATTCTACAGGCTACTTCGGCTACGCATGTACTTTGCTAACGACCGTGACCCAGATGATGTAGAGGATACTCCTGTCGCATCCCTGATCAATCCATTCAAACATAAAAGTAAATGGAACCCTCCTCCCAGCAGAGTACCTGCTCTCGAAGCGTTCATCAGTGCAGTGAAGGAGGAAGTAACCGTACACTTAAACAACACGCAGACAACCAAGGACAATCTGTCACCTTTGGAACGCCAGGCACTCAAATCCCTGAAAAATAGTTCGGACATTGTCATCAAGCCAGCGGACAAAGGCTGTTAAGTTGTCATAATGAACAGGGACGACTACATCAAAGAGGCTAATCGGCAACTCGCCAACGAGACATTTTATCGTCAGGTCGATAGTGACCTGACGCACGTACATGCACAGCAGATTAATAATACCATCATTAGAATTTTAGAGAAGGGTGATATTGACAACGATACCGCGAAATTCCTTCGCCCCGAAAACCCTCAAGCAGGAAAGTTTTATCTTCTTCCTAAAATACACAAACCTGGGAACCCTGGTAGACCCATCATTAACTCGATCAACCACCCGACGGAGAAAATTTCCCAGTTTGTTGACTTCCACCTCCGACTCACTTTATGTGATAGTGCATCTTGCGCAAGAATAGGTCCTCTACATCAGTGATGCTCTCAGCTTAATTGCTGCCTTCGGCTGTCTTTAGCCGAGGGGACTATTGGTTTTATATAATAGCTATATTTTCAATTATAATATATCAGTTCTATCTTCTTGTAATATTATGTATATGAACATGTAACTGTTCTGTTTCACTGTAACTTGAAAAAGGAGCGGATCGCTTCGAAAAATTGACAACCTAAACTTGTCCACACTGTTGGAATTACTTCTTTGCCCCATACATATATATAGTTGTATATCTTTTCGTGGATATCAGATAACTATGCTATTATACATGATTAACAATATCTATCCTAATAAGAGCGCAGCATGTAACATGTAACATGTACGAACAATTGAAGTCATGGTAACGTCGAAATGCTATGCTTCCAAAATCCTTCGTCACGGAAGTAGCCAGTATAGAGTTACCGCGGTCCTATTTTTACAATGCTGTTTAGCTTTGCTACACATTCTAAAAATATCTCTTTATTTGATAAAAAAAACATCTGTGGTTATGTAAATTCATGACATTAAAAATTATAGAAACTGAAGCTTCTTTCAAATTTTCAGTCTTTTCTTCTCTCCACCCAAACCGGAAGTATATAGTAACTACCAAACCAGACGGAAATCCGGATATGTTTGGGCGATTGTGATTCTCTTTTTACACGATTTAGAGGGATCAGGCAAAGTATATCATGTCGGAAAATAAAGTGAATTTAATCACCAATATACTTAACTTTTATAATAACAGATAATAACAGTTATATTTGATAAACAATACATCTTCAAATATGAAGTCCCTCTACTGGGCCTCACTCTTTCCGCAACATTACGCCGTGGCCATAGACGGGGCAATTAAATGCAACAGTACCAAATGCAGTTGTTTTCTCTTGAACTGCATAATTCATTCGAATGTTTTTCTTTACTATTATTAATTTTACTTTAACTACTTTATCGCTATAAAACAAATAAATAGATATTATTTTAAATAATGTTATTTAGAAAATAAGATTGAAAGAAACAGCATTTAGACGCTTCGCTCGTTTCAGGCAATGCCTGTTTTCAAAATGAATGATTTTGCCCAACAACAGATTCAAGTATATCATATATAAAAAAAAAAAACCCAGGTACATTCTGTATGTATTAAAATGGGAAATGTTATGATTCAAAAATTATACTATACTATCGAAACAAATGTACGAGCTTCGCTCTCTCCAGGCCATGCCTCAGTCATATTATACTTTCTTTATGAGATCTTATACCTTTCATGAGATATATTTATATCAAATAGCTCATGTATTATATAAGATATTTCATAACGATTATAAATCCTATAAGCATATAAGATATTATATCTGATATACAAACATCGTAAAGACACTGATATACAAACATTGTAAAGACACTGATATACAAACATCGCACAGACATTGAGCATACGACATCATCGACTAGTTTCTTAGTGTGAGCAGCGTATTTTTATTTTTTTTATTTTTTTTGATTTCTGTTTAATGATCTGTCATCATCATTGGCATGATGAGCAATTCTTCCAAGAGTTGTCGTCATAAATACGATGGTGATCAATTACAATGATACTTCTAGGAGACACCGGTTCTTTGGTGTGTACTAGTTGAAAATACTGATACGAGTGGGGGTGGGGGGGACGACACTTGGCCAAACGATAACATCGTTGATCTGATCATGGACATAATACGCGGACCCAATCTCCCATTCGTGGACACATGTTCATAACGGACCCAGTACGACATTTTACATACTCGTCCTTCAGCCTTAATTAGACACTCTACAAGTACATGTATAGCTATATATAGTAACATCTAAATATTATCAAATATGCAAAGCCGCGAGAGTTTTATTAGAAGGGTGATAAGTATCGGGAGACTCGTACTATCGACTATTAGAAGGGTGATAAGTATCGGGAGACTCGTCCTATCGACTATTAGAAGGGTGATAAGTATCGGGAGCCTCGTACTATCGACTATTAGAAGGGTGATAAGTATCGGGAGCCTCGTACTATCGACTATTAGAAGGGTGATAAGTGTCGGGAGACTCGTACTATCGACTATTAGAAGGGGGATAAGTATCGGGAGACTCGTACTATCGACTATTATAAGGGTGATAAGTATCGGGAGACTCGTACTATCGCCTATTAGAAGGGTGATAAGTATCGGGAGACTCGTAGTATCGACTATTAGAAGGGTGATAAGTATCGGGAGACTCGTACTATCGACTCGGATGTTAACATCTTTACATCACTATACATTATACCAAACTGAAGGAATGCCTTAGTTATCTTCATATTTTCAAAGAAAGGCGAACGACAATATAAATACATTGTTGTGCATTATTTCAGAGCATGTGAAAAAACACAAAGACCAAGACGAAATACACTAAACATTTAATTGTCAAAGTGACGAGTTTCTTTAATCCTTAGTCAACAATATCGTGAAAGTTGTTGAGTTTAGTGGCTATATATTTCTAGTACATGTAGATTGTGGTATGTAGGAAACAAACGGTGCCCATTGTACGGCCGATTTGTATTTGTTTATGTACGAGTAGATGGGTCTGTATCATCCTTGATTTCAAGATCAGGAGGGTATTTACGATGATGATCTGACTTGGCCAATAAACTTCTTTCTTTAAAAACAGCAAATCCTCGATATCTCTGTAAGTGTGAAGTTGGCAAGGGTTTGTTACCGTCTCGATAAGCTCATCAATCAATTTAGCCTTATATGAAAAAAAACAACCTGCTGGGGCATCTCGTCATCGTACTCAACAATGATATTATCAACAAAACATTAATAAATATTGACTTTCGATTATTTTGAATCGCACACAAAAGATCGTTGGAAACATTATTAGGTGGAAAAAGTAGTCCTTACTGGGATTTTTTTCAAAACTAAGTCATCCGAACAGTAGCCGGGCCTCTCTCCAAATGTGTCATAATTCTTGATTTATACAAATATCGGTAGCTTAATGGTGCTGTCACATAAATTGTATTATACGGACCGATTCAGTACAAATGTATGGAACCGGAGTATACGTCACTAAAACGGCCTCATTTACACCAAGTCCATTCTGACAGTTTTGATTGATATTTCACAGTAGTGTATCCTAAAGAGAGTGTCAGAATCAGCCTCAGTTACCATTTATCTGTATACTCACGGGGATCAGGCGTGTGTGGTAGCCGACACATTAAGTAGTTAAACACCAAATACATCGCATCAATGTGGTGTATGGTGTGAGCAGTTTGTGATGCGGTGCTTTAGTAAGGCGCATGGTACAATACGTATTCAATAGATAACTTGATAAATAATTCACAGCTAATGATTTATCTCCAACAGCGCTGACTTCTCAAACATGTATTTTATGATAATATAATATAATAATATACAAAATTTATATAGCGCCCTATATAATTTGTAAAATTACTCTAAAGCGTACAACATATGGATAATAGTAATGGTTATAATTGTGAAAACAAAAAACAAAGGCTTACAATCACTTTTATACATTTAAGCAAGCAATGTGCACATAATTGAACAAATAAAAGGGTGGTATTTACATAACGTCTTTGCCATGATTCTAAAATGCAGAAGTTAAGAGGTGAGTTTTGTTGTCCCTCTTAAACTTGGCCAGGGTATTGGAGTTTCTAATTGCAGATGGTAAGCTAATCCACAACGTAGCCGAAACCCTCCCAAAGCATCTGTTTCCGTAGGTTGCAGTACGAGATTTTGGGACACACAACAAAGATTCTGACTCCGACCGCAATGATCGTGACGGCTGATACAGGGTAACAAGCTCATGTATGTACTGAGGAACTGTTCCATTCAGTGCCTTGTATGTGTACACCAGAATTTCGTACTGCGACCTGTATCGTCCAGGTAACCAGTGCAACGAATAGAGCACAGGTGGGATGTGCTCTCTCTTTCGAGTACGAGTTACTAGCCGTGCTGCAGTGTTCTGGACCCTCTGCAGACAAGGCGTATTGCTAAGTGATAGACTTCCCTTAAACATCGCCTGCATTTTCCCGTGATAATGTGTTGTTATCATCGCCTGTATTTTCCAGTGACAATGTGCTGTATTGCTAGGCGACAGACTTCCCTGTTATCATCGCCTGTATCTTCCCGTGATGATGTGTTGTATTGCTAGACGACAGACTTTCCTGTTATCATCGCCTGTATTTTCCCGTGATAATGTGTTGTATTGCTAGGCGACAGACTTCCCTGTTATCAACGCCTGTATTTTCCTGTGATGATGTGTTGTATTGCTAGGCGACAGACTTCCCTGTTATCAACGCCTGTATTTTCCTGTGATAATGTGTTGTATTGCTAGGCGACAGACTTCCCTATTATCAACGCCTGTATTTTCCCGTGATGATGTGCTGTATTGCTAGGCGACAGACTTCCCTGTTATCAACGCCTGTATTTTCCTGTGATAGTGTGTTGTATTGCTAGGCGACAGACTTCCCTATTATTAACGCCTGTATTTTCCCGTGATGATGTGCTGTATTGCTAGGCGAGAGACTTCCCTGTTATCATCCTCGGTATCTTCCCGTGATAATGTATATTGCTAGGCGACAAACCTCCCTAGTATCGTCGCCTGTATTCCCGTGATAATGTGCTGTACTGCTAAGAGCCAGTGTTCCCTTTTATGATCGCCTGTATTTTCCCTTTTGTCATCGCCTAAAAGGTATGTGGCGCTTAGTTGGAAGGCTCCTCACAGCTGACATGTTGGTTTTCCCAAAATGTCCCAATTTGCTGCTGGTTATGACGTAGCGTTTGAATATTACCAATGACGGGGTAATTATGTATGACATATAACTGCTGTACTAGTTGCCTTTTGAACATCATAATTATGCAATACAGGGGAACCAAATATAACTTAGAGAAAACAAATCCCGAGAAATAACGTAATAAATTTAATTTTACAGAATGTCACAAGGGAGAAAGTATGACGATAATGAAATAAGGAAGGAAATATACAGCGTGTCGTTAACGGGTGTATTTGAATGTTGTTATGTATAAAAGTAGGCGTATATATCAATTAAAATCAGAAATTTCAATTTGCCGTTAACAGACTTCTATATTCCTTAGACATAATTGTCCTTCCTACTTGAATCTCTAGATGTATATGCGGAATAGAGAAATGATATAACGATATCACACGCAGTGTCCTCAATTGATTGGGTAAGCAATCTACCGAATTACATAAATGTATAATTGTTAATAATAAAAAAATACACATTTCGTTGATGTGTAAAATAATTAAACGGCTCTGACATAACAGCAAGAAGATGTGAAGACGGTTTACAGAAAGGTCACGAGTAAAACTTTTGAAAATCAATTGATAGATACAAGCCCTGTGCAGCCTTTGATAAGAGATCCTATCCTGATAGATACAAGCCCCGTGCAGACTTTGATAAGAGATCCTATCCTGATAGATACGAAGCCCAGTGCAGCCTTTGATAAGAGATCCTATCCTGACAGATACAAGCCCAGTGCAGCCTTTGATAAGAGATCCTATCCTGATAGATACAAGCCCAGTGCAGACTTTGATAAGAGATCCTATCCTGATAGATACAAGCCCAATGCAGCCTTTGATAAGAGATCCTATCCTGATAGATACAAGCCCTGTACAGCCTTTGATAAGAGATCCTATCCTGATAGATACAAGCCCTGTGCAGCCTTTGATAAGAGATCCTATCCTGATAGATACAAGCCCCGTGCAGACTTTGATAAGAGATCCTATCCTGATAGATACAAACCCAGTGCAGCCTTTGATAAGAGATCCTATCCTGATAGATACAAGCCCATTGCAGCCTTTGATAAGAGGTCCTATCCTAATAGATACAAGCCCAGTGCAGCCTTTGATAAGAGATCCTATCCTGATAGATACAAGCCCCGTGCAGACTTTGATAAGAGATCCTACCCTGATAGATACAAGCCCCGTGCAGACTTTGATAAGCGATCCTATCCTGATAGATACAAACCCAGTGCAGCCTTTGATAAGAGTTCCTATCCTGATAGATCCAAGCCCAGTGCAGACTTTGATAAGAGATCATATCCTAATAGATACAAGCCCAGTGCATCCTTTGATAAGAGTTCCTATCCTGATAGATCCAAGCCCAGTGCAGACTTTGATAAGAGGTCCCATCCTGATAGATACAAGCCCAGTGCAGTCTTTGATAAGAGATCCTATCCTGATAGACACAAGCCCTGTGCAGCCTTTGATAAGAGGTCCTATCCTAATAGATAGATACAAGCCCAGTGCAGCCTTTCATAAGAGGTCATATCCTGATAGATACAAGCCCAATGCAGCCTTTGATAAGAGGTCCTATCCTTATAGATACAAGCCCAGTGCAGCCTTTGATGAGAGATCCTATCCTGGTAGATACAAGCCCAGTGCAGACTTTGATAAGAGATCATATCCTAATAGATACAAGCCCAGTGCAGCCTTTGATGAGAGATCCTATCCTGATAGATACAAGCCCATTGCAGCCTTTGATAAGAGGTCATATCCTAATAGATACAAGCCCAGTGCATCCTTTGATAAGAGTTCCTATCCTGATAGATACAAGCCCATTGCAGCCTTTGATAAGAGGTCATATCCTGATAGATACAAGCCCAATGCAGCCTTTGATAAGAGGTCCTATCCTTATAGATACAAGCCCAGTGCAGCCTTTGATAAGAGTTCCTATCCTGATAGATACAAGCCCATTGCAGCCTTTGATAAGAGGTCCTATCCTGGTAGATACAAGCCCAGTGCAGACTTTGATAAGAGATCATATCCTGATAGATACAAGCCCAGTGCAGTCTTTGATAAGAGATCCTATCCTGATAGATACAACCCCAGTGCAGCCTTTGATAAGAGATCCTATCCTGATAGATACAAGGCCAGTGCAGCCTTTGATAAGAGGTCATATCCTAATAGATACAAGCCCAGTGCATCCTTTGATAAGAGTTCCTATCCTGATAGATACAAGCCCATTGCAGCCTTTGATAAGAGGGCCTATCCTAATAGATACAAGCCCAGTGCAGCCTTTGATAAGAGGTCCTATCCTGATAGCATGTTAACATCAACAGGAGAATACGAAGTGTCGACATAACCATTAATTGATCTCAAAATCTATAAAACTAGGGGAAAGTATGAAGAGATGTAAGATTTACATAGAGACCATTGAAAAAGTGCAAGGCGAATAAAACCAGGTGTTACGGAAGGGTAAGCGACTACTGCTTCATAGACAACATACCACCCCAGAGATACCTGACAGCCCGCAAACAAGGCAGGGACATCCGTGCCAAATCATTTACTGACTTTGATACTACCGATCGTTCAGCCCGTTTAAACAACAGAGGTTTTGTCGTTCTATCAGGTAGGGTTGAACAATACAGGAGTAAAACAACCATAGACTGGAACCACTTAAGTGACTCAATTGTGAACTGTGACACTATCGAGGCGTTTAAATCAGCTCTCGAATCGCGCGATTAATTACACCTGCGCTCTCTCACCCGCTGCAATATTACCTTAATTGGGATCTAGCAGTGTATTCCATACAGATTCGCCATGTAAATCTAGATTAAATCCAAGTAACGTCACGTCATCACGACGAACACTCAGATAGTGACAAAAAACAACATGACACACTTATAGGCATAAAAAACATCGACCTTCATAACAAAGAAATAGCATATTCCCCTATACGACATGATGGCGACCATCACACTTGTCCGTAGTCTATATCAACTTTTCGGAAACCAGCAGTTGTGATCTATCACAGAAGTCATGATATTTGGAGCAACAGAACCAAATTGATTGCAACATGTAAGAAGGGGAAACTGGGACGTTACTATCAAGAAAGGGAAGTTCACGATAGGAAAGACGAAGTCGCCCTGCTTATTTTAAAGCTTAGTAGAAAGCCGTCACGGTAGGTCATGTTGCAAGTTAGATCGAGGAAAGCGGTTGAAGTAGAACAGTCTTGCACTGTCCTCGATTTTAAGCCTTGGAGGGCATACACGATCGCTGTGGTAAATAAATTTCTTGTTATTTAAAGACAGCTAATCGTCACTCTATCTAGATTTTAAATGGAAGGACTTTGCTAGCTTTTTATTATCATTCCTTGTTCCTATAAGAATGTCTTCCGTCTGCTGGAAAGCCTTGCCACCGAACTCGCTTAATTTCAGCCTCAGTATATTTCATTTTTGTCTTTGTTGTGCTTTTCACAAAAAATGCTCCAAAACCATATATTTATATCGCCGTTCGCCTTTTTTGAAAAGAAAGTTCCCATAGTAAGACAATTAACGAACTCCTTCAGTTTGGTATGGGGTATGGTAGTGTAACAGATCTAAAAGTCACTTGTTCTTAACTACTGGTTCAGAATGCTCTTCTTTAGTTTTACGTGTAGAAAATTGATTAAGAGAGGCATAATTTAAAATCACCTAACTTTAATAGTGAAATATAACAAATCTTTATGTCTGTCCTATTAGTCTTAGGTTTTCTGCATTCCAGATTAAACATGTATGATAAAATAGGGATAGCACATGATGATAATACCTGTGAGTAGGAAATTGACATGTATTGTTGAAAGTTGCAAAGCAACAGTAAATGAACGTTGTGATTACAGTGTAACCCACACGTAACGATCTACAGCAGTAAATACAAAGAGGATGTGCTTGATGTATTCATAAATAACAGTTACAAAACAAGAGTGATGTGAATGTTTTAATAATGTTTATGAGAACGTTGGGAGACTGAACAAATCAATGAATAGTTAGTTAGGGAACATATCAAGGACTTGATGAAGGATGACGATACAGTAAACAATCTGGTTTACTAACTGGGCGTTCCACCACCCTTTAATTGCTAGCAGTTCGAGCTATGTGGACAGAAGCAAAGGACGCTGACATTCCCACCAACGGAGACTTCCGGAAAGCCTAGATAACGCACCACATTTAAGGAACATTATAGGCGTGTCACGTAACAAGCAAAATTGTTAAATGGATCTAAGACGATTTGCATGGTAGTAAGGAGAACGTGTAAATGAACGGCGAGGTTTCCAATCGGGTAGACTTCACGTTACTTAGTGAAATAAAACATTGATAGACTGTTTCCGTAGAAACAACCTCGAATTCGACCATCATAAATTGTGGTCAAGAAAGCAAACGCCATGTTCACAGTCATCAGTAGAACATTCCAGCACTAGGAGGAAGAAGTCTTCAAATACCGGGACAAGAGTCTAGTAAGGTCAGATCAAGAGTCTAGTAAGGTCAGATCAAGAGTCTAGTAAGGTCAGATCAAGAGTCCTCATGTTTTGTTGCTACATGTTTGTTCCACACACATTGATGGTGAAACCGTCAGGATTCAGTCAGATAAATATATCTTATAATCGAGTCCCAAACCATACAGAAATGTGTATATGACTTGTGAGTGGTGTTTATTTTGTGAAGAACAAAGCTAGTGATTTGTTTCAATATTTTCAATATAGTGAGTTGTCCGTCATTGTTTAAGTAATGTCCATGATAGATACGTCATTAACTCGTCAGGTTTTGTTTTCATAGCGAGATGTTCTGTTTACACGGTAACTATCTGCTGTGTACAGATTATACACGGCGTGTTTGATACGTTAATACTGCAATTGTTATAATTCCACGATAGGCAAAGGTACTTAGCAAAGTAAAAACATTGAAAATGAGATTCTATGACGTATTTTGAACAATTCGAAAAGGAAAAGATGTGCAACGAAAGAATTTTTAGAAGAAATATTAAGTGAACTGAATAAGAAATACACTCACCTATAAATGAAATTCAGAAATGTCCCGTTCAAACTTCCGTCACTACCTGGATAAAGATGAGTAGCACGTGTCAGTAGCGCGGTCGTTTGCTCGTTGTAGTTGACCGTGACAATGAAAGATGCTGACGCGCTCCCTCTCTACAGCCTCTTTTTATTGGTCCAATGATGAGCCACTCCTGACAATCTGCCCACGGGGCTGTTTTCACGTCACGTGCAGATAAAACAAGTGCGTAAATCCAGAAATGGACGATGGAATGCAACATTTTTGTTAAACGTGACCATATTCTCACGTGAGCAGGATTTGTATATGTCTATCAAAAACTAATCTTAAAATACAAAGTTTTCTTATTTTATACTAATAAAAATTGAAAGACCCAGTCAGGGGTCATGAGTCTATGTCGGTCATAGGTTTTGTTAGCATTTTGATAGCGACATAGGACTAAATCCGAGGTAATAAGGGAGGTGATGGCGTGTATGTGCTGGAGCAGTCACATATTTACTTCTATAATGTTTATGATAAAGGCTTGAATAAATGAATGATGACGAATCAATTTACTCAATTGAAATTGATATTTCAATTAATAAACTGATCGTGACCATATGTAGGGATTGGTACGTGGAAATCTTACATAGAATTATCGCGGTAGACTGTTTGGGATTAGCTTGTAACGTCACACAACGTCTTACATTGCAGCTTGGTTTATACGAAGTGATAAGCATGACTGTGTCGATGTAGTGTAAAATATATCAGTATAAAACACTTAACTAATTTGGTGAATTGTTATCAAACCTTGAGGAAATTAACACATGCTTTGTTCATTTTTTCTTTGACCCATAAAATGTACGCGAGTACTATGATGGGAACAAGCAGATCACAATACTTGTTAAAATCGACGGGTATAATGACATATTACATTAGTGTAATGAGAAGCGACTAGATACAAAAATATTAAAATTAAACTGGTGTCGTGTATATAGCAAATAAATATATCAACCGAGATTCATAGTTGATAGCAGAATATTACAGTTACCGAGGAATGGTGAGAAATACGGAGTGAACAAGTAGAAAATCCCAATGGGATTTGATATATATTCGTGTTAGATTTCTATAAAGTGCCTCTGACACTGTCTACAAAACAAGCGCATTCTAGCTGAAAATATGGCATTCCTCTGTTGATAACAGCTCCCTCCATAAAACATGATATAGAACTTTCAATAAAAATAATACTTGGCTGTCTGTTATTGGATTTTTTTTAGTTTGCTCGTCATCTCCCAGTTCTTTTGCGAAAGGATCGCACGGAGCATATCGCTGGAGGCTTTACGTCTGACCCTGTATGTGGGTACAACTCCCTGCCTGCATACGTCACTATACAGAGAACTTCAGAGACAAGCGCTTTCATAGTTACAATTGTGACGTCATCAATAAGTTGTACAATCAGCAATTGTTATGTCATCAATAATGTCGTCACTTAGAGACGTCATCATGATACGGGAGTCATTAAAACACTACGTTAGACTAGTGATTTAGACTAGTTAGATAGACTAGTTAGTTATCCTAGTTAGTTAGACTTGTTAGATAGACCAGTTAGTTAGATAAGTGAGTTAGACTAGTTAGATAGACTAGTTAGTTATACTAGTTAGTTATACTAGTTAGATGGACTAGTTAGATTAGTGAGTTAGACTAGTTAGATAGACTAGTTAGTTAGACTAGTAAGATAGACCCGTTAGTTAGACTAGGGAGTGAGACTAGTTAGATCGACCAGTTAGTTAGACTAGTTAGTTAGACAAGTTAGGTAGACTAGTTAGTTAGACTTGTGAGTTAGACTTGTTAGATGGACTAGTTAGTTAGACTAGTGAGTTAGACTAGTTAGATGGACTAGTTAGTTAGACTAGTGAGTTAGACTAGTTAGATGGACTAGTTAGTTAGACTAGTGAGTTAGACTAGTTAGATAGACTAGTTAGTTAGACTAGTTAGATAGACCAGTTAGTTAGACTAGTGAGTTAGACTAGTTAGATAGACTAGTACGTTAGACTAGTTAGATAGACTAGTTAGTTAGATTAGTGAGTTAGACAAGTGAGTTAGACTAGTTAGTGTCGGTCACAATGTTTTATGATACAATTTCCTTTTCCTTTCCTTAAGTTTGACTTTCAGTAAATGACAACACCATGCCATATTATTACATAAATGCCATTTGTAGTATAACATGACATATTTGAAGTGATATTGAATTCGTTGACGTTCAAATATTAGGTTTTCCTATCCATGAAGTATTTATATGTACCACAGCGTGTTACACCTCGTCACTTTGCATTCTTGGTATTATTAATATGTTAATCGTGTCTAAATAATTGGTTTTGTTTTACCATTCAAAATTGTTGTCCTTTTAAAAAAGCTCCTTGTTGTTTGTTCACCTTCTTTCATTACCTTGTTGTTCGCTGTTCGACTGAAGCTCTTGATTCGCATATTATGCGCGATACTTTGGTTTGGTTTAATTTTGTTTATTAACAGCAAAGGTCATTTAAGGACGTGCCTCCATGTGTGTAGCGTATGTGTGCTTGCGTGTGTGAATGCAGGAGACAGGTTATGTTGGTGTGCTTGCCTCCTTGTGATAGCGCGGATAGGATGCCGACTTAATAGTGCTATCTCACTGAAATACCATGCCGAAGGCACCCAGCACAGCATTCCGCCTGGTCACATTATACTGACAAAAGGTTAACCAGTTGTTGCCATTCCCCTCAATGCTGAACGCTAAACAGGGAATAACAACTACCATTTTAAGGGACTTTGGTATGTCCCGGCCTGGGGACAGAACCCATCTGGGTGAAAGCTCATTTAGGCCAAAAGTGAGGTGTTGCCAAGCAAGGCGCTAGGATATAAAAGGTAGTTAGAAGTAGAAAGAAAGATAAAGATTCCAAATATTGCAATGGGCGTAGCAGATGTATTTTGGTTGCTTTTGTGTCCCAAAATAGAGGACACCAAAGCAAATCCCCAATTCTGCAGGGGGTTCTATCATTAGTTGCCTTCTACGATACATGCAGTGGGTAACATAAACCGAGTAACCAATGATCATGTTTTTTCATTTCTCTCGACTGAAACAATGATGTTAACTCCCGTTCTACAGCCTGTTTAAAACGCCCGTCCTCTGTTATTCCACATGGGTATTGTTGCAGCCTTAAATATTGTTTTCTCTTACTATAGTTACGACTTTTCTCGTTAATTATAAGAGACTGCACACTTACTGTGGCCAGATCCGAAATCTACGTAAGTGTCTTCTTAATGATATTATTTATGTTAGACGTTCGTTCTGTAACTGTAAATTATGAAAAAATCATCTAGATATCATTTCCAATTTCCAAAAAAAAAGTCGTAACATTTTCATCCCGAAGCTTTATTTTGTAGTGTGGGGTACATGAAGACAAATGTGAAAACTGTCTATGTTAGAGCTACTTTTGTTCCTAAATAGGTCCCTTTAATTTGATATACTGTTCAATTTTGAGGGAGAATATGTTGTTTTGAAGTACGTGACCACATCGGATGTGAGTCGTTATCCATTCTTTTGATAGGCATCGTAAGGAAATCAAATCCAGATCATTAAGAACATAGCTCTTCACCTTGGTACATACAGGTGTTAGAAGGATAACTAATTAGTTACTCCATTTTGTATTGGCACATTTATTGTTCCTGCTAATGGTCAACCTTGTTACCCAAGGGGTTAGACTCACTCTCGCTCTCTGACCCCTGGAATATGTCATGACAAAATTTAAATCACGTGGCTAGCCAATCGTTAGGCTGATACCCTGCCCCTTGAAAATCACAAAGAAGCGACACTCGACTCGATGTACATCAAAGGATCAAACTAGTCTTCTCGGATTATCAACAAGGTTGGAGCCTTCGATTTGGCTATGATATATATTCCAGGGGTGCAGAGAACGAAAGTGAGCGTAACACCTGGAGTGTCGAGGATGACTAACCAGTGTATGTAACAGAGTCTGTTTTGGAACCTATTTTAGCTTCCATCACCAGTGTTGACTGGTTGATCTTTGGTAAACCAGTACCACCCTCCAGTCTCTAGGCCGTGTACTACAAGCTTTCACTGGAAATACGAATAAAAAACATTGTATTGGCAGATATGAACATCACATTCACATAAACGTTCCACATGTCGATAACTAAAACTAAGCACATTGGTGGAGGGAAGAAATTCTCTATATTTCCATTTTATAAAGTATTTACCGAAAAAAGTACCGAAAAGTGAAATTATTAAAAGATATTGAAAACAAAATAACCTGTCTCACTCAATAGTCTAACTAAAATTGCTTATTGCCCTCATGATTGAATGACCAGCTCCCTTATAATGATGGCCTGAACTATAACCCCTAGTACACTGTCTAAACAATTAAAATCTATGTAGGTCAACACTATCGACAGAATGGCCCCGAGAAGCACTGGATCCGACCGGGCAGTCGTTCACTGGACACGTAATACTAAGATGGGTGTATAAGCAAAGAGGAAATAACGAAATCAGTTGTCAAATGTTCGAGGCGATCCGACTTCAAGATACAAATATGAAATAATTACATTCCATATCCCATCGGCTAGTCGAGGAAAACAGCTGTGAAGAAATCCAAATGTAACCTCAGTGCTTTGTCCGCTCTGTCGTTGTAACATACGTCTCTACTGATATATATACCACCACAGCGTACATTAGTAGAAGTCTTAGAAGCGTACAGTTTCATTTTGTTTGTTCCTATGTTAAAATGTTATCTGTGTCGTTTAACAAACTATTTTTTGTTATAAGCCTTGATTGAATAAAGTTGAAAAAATAGCTCTGCCTATAAGTGCTGCCTGATTGTTCCCTGAAATGTCATGCAGCACGTAAGATAACATCAATTTCAAAACCATTTCACATAATAGCATTGTCAGTGATCAGTACAGGACGATGTTTGTGACTGCTCAGTACGGGACGATGTTTGTGACTGATCAGTACTTGACGATGAGATTGGGTGAGGATATCTTTTACCACTATCATTGTGACACCTGGTAGCACTGCTAATGGTAATGTTTTTTTTTCAACTTCTATGATTTCATTGCATGGTTACGTTATCTTGATATGTGCGTGTTTAATTGTTGTAGGAAATTAATGGTACTCTTAACTGACAAATTTCATTATAGATGTA